TCTGGAGCATGTCTACATGCCTCTGGCTGGTTAGCGGCTAAACAGGTGTACCTAATTAAGTATGTAAATGTAGAAATCTTGCTTTCAGTTGTGGTACATTTGTTTTTTCGGGGAGAGGGTCTCTGATGTTTGCAGAGAATTTGAAGGTTTCTGTTGTTTCTCCATTTCATGCCTTCTTACTCGCTCTGCCCTTCTGCCTGTGACCTGAAAATCTATCTCAAGTACATGATTTTGAAGCAAGTTTTAGCTTCTAAAGTGCACCAACAGAAGACGCACAGGTGCATCTGTTGCTGGAGTGTTTTTACCCTCCATGTTTACAAGAGCAGTGGCACAGTTGGAATGTACAAAGCATGATGAAAGGAGGACTCTTACCCTGCATTTTATTCTACTTACAAATTTAATTAAAAGCAGGGCTAAATATAAGAGTTCTATAGGAACATTGTTGCACTCACACACTGTAGTTGGGCTGCACTAAACACCATTATTTGACATAATTTTAAAAAGAGCTTCAAAGTAAGGAATTCGCTTCACTAGGACAATTAAAGGAAACTCCAAGTGTTGTAGCAAGGTGTTAGGCCTTACTGTAGTTGTGGAGATTTTTCCTTTAATTTGTCAATTTTGTGTGTAAGACAGAAAGAATATTGCTTTTCAGCCACGTCAGCCTGCCCAATTCTCTATTTTCCATGACTATCAACAGACTCAGCCACTAAAGCTTTTCATTAAATCCCCACTTTTGATTGTTTTTCTTTTTTGGGTCTCATTTATTTAAAGCACCTGTTGCCTCAACCCCTGTTTTCTTTTTACTCTTCCTCCCCTGCTTTCAAGTCCAGGCGGAGGAAATAAGATTTGAGAGGATGAATTGTGGATAAACTGTGACTGGAGGGCATTAAAGTGTGTTTGTTTAGTTGGATCCTGGTCCCAAATGCCCAGAGGTGAATTTTTTCCTTGAGTGTTCACTCTGAACTCAGACACTGGATGACATGAGTGAGTCTTTACTTTATTGAGTCTTTTAATTCTGTCACACCGCCCCCCACCCCTCCCCGACTGTGCTTTCAAGAATCACAACACAAGCCCAAAAGCTTCTGGAAAGATTTAATCTCACTTAGTTTCACTGTTCTAAACAAACAGTCAGGACGATGGCAGAGGCAGAGAATGCTGCTAAACAAGTCCGATCAATCACTGAGGCTAATATCCATGATGAAATCTCATGATCTGAGAGGACGCGTGGACCCATCGCCCCTTGAGACTCAGAGACGACTGGAACGAGGGCGGTCTGATGTGGTGGTGAAAACAGACTCAAACAGGAGGGCGTTAATGTGCATGCAGTTCATCACCAGCTCCCTTAACATGAAGTGAAACAAACCGAAGATGGCTCTGACGCTCACACACACACACACACACACCTGAGTGTCCCACAAACAGCTCAGGAGCTCAGCGAGCCGACTCAAGTCTGAAATCTGGTAAATAAATCAGACTTCAGCTGGCTCCAAAAACACTGTTAACAATGCTCCCAACGTCTCTCTCTCTCTCTCTCTCTC